AAGTGGTATTTTGAAAATTTTTACAAAGGTCAATAATGAAATTTTGGATGAAAATTTTTTCCTGTTTTGTGCATTTTGATTATAATTGGTAAACGTGAAAATTATTGAAAGGTTAAAAATGGGTTTGCACTTTTTTGCTCTAAAAGTACTTGTATTGGTTGCTGATTAACACAGCTTTGGTTCAAATGAAGTTAATTGTTTCAATTTAACATTTTCTTCTTTATAAGTGATGTTAAATAGGTGATGGAAATGTCAGGTAAAAAAAATTTTCTTTAACCCAACTGACCAAAGTAAATAAGAGAACTCAATTTTTGCTCTTTCTTTCAAGTCTCTACAATAACCTGTCATCATTGTTTACTTTCAGGTTACTTTGTGTTTTCTTTTGTTTATTTGTTTACTTCTAATAATGTTAAGAGTTGTGAGTTTACATTTTATTGCAATCATTTACCACCAAGTGTTATCAGGTAAACAACTTTGATTATTACTATGATTTACTTTATTTCAAGCGAAAGCAAAAAAGCAAAACAAAGATAAAAGGAAAACAGAAGAAGAAGAAGAAGAAAAATGATGCAAAGAAGAACCATTACGACTTATTGTTTACACCTTAACAATTTTTTACCTTTTCAAGTTCAATTCACAATGTTTACCTGGGCAACCTTTTCTTTACCTTTTACCTTTTACCTTTTAGGAGTGAATCGTTTTATCTTTGACCTTTTCTTTAAAGTTTAAGGGATGAAATTGTTTCTCAAAAAGCGAGTCAAATGATTATCATTGGACAGGTTAACGAAAGTTTAGCCAAGAGTTTACCTTAATGAAGGTAATAGTTGAAGGTAAAAAACATTGTAAATCATCTCATGGATAACAAGTGATTGCATCCTCAGGCAAACGCATCTAGTTGCTTCTTGACTCTCATCTCGGTCCATCTTTTAGTCTTGAAAGAATGTAAGGGAATGAAACTTGGGCAAAGAAGAGCGAAAAAAGAGAGAAGAAAAAAAGTTGAAGACGAAAATAAATGAGTGGCTAGTAAAATAGGGAAGAATGATGAAGAAAGTGGAAGATGAAGTGAAGATGAAAAGATGATCTCGATAAGATTATTTTACAAACATTGCAAGTTTACAAGTTTTGCTCGGAAAAAATGTTTCTCCAAAGTCTGGAAAACTTGAAAACTGAAAGAAGCTCAAAAATAGTTACAAAGAGTTTCCTTTTGATTCTCATTTTTATCCTCATCACCATCACCATCATCATTATCATTTCCCTTCATGGCTCATCTCTTGTCTCATCTCTTGTTTCAACTCTTTTTGCCTCTAAATTTTGACCCATTTTTGCTCGCAAATTGAATCGATGAGTTAAAGAAGATGAATTGAGATGAATTGCGATTAAAATGATGTTTAACTTTTCATCAATTATTATTACAATTGATGGTTATTAATTTAACTTTTATTGATAAATAATGGAAAATGATAATTTCAAATTTTTCCTGAGATTCGCTTCAAACACAAAATTGTTTCCCATTTGATTAAAGAGTAGAAACAATAAAAGTCTATTAAAAGTGACTTTGACTTAATAGCTTGAAGCACTTTTACTCATTTAAAATGATCAAGATAGATTAATGATTAAAGCGAGATTGATGATGATGAGGATGAAATGGCTTGCGATCAACAATTATCAATGTGATTCTCTTGTTTTCATTTCATCAACTGAAACTGAATGTTAAGTGATGATTTAAAGGGTGGAAATGATTTTGTCAGCAACATTTCAAAGTTGAAAGACAATTTAAACAATCAATTAACTGATCAATTGAGTTGCAATTGGTATAGAGTTTGATATTTTTAGAGAATCTTTTTTTTCCTGGAAAATGGAAAATTTTTCATTGCCAATGAATTTTCATGTTGATCAACTAGATTGTTAATTAACTGTCACTTGCAGATAATCAGCTTGGCAAATTTCATGAGAAATTTTTTTTCACTTTTTCGACAATCTTTTGTTCTCGTTTACATTCAAAGGAAACAATGTTTTTTTCAGTTTGTTTTGCTCATGATAAAGTTTGTACCTTTTGTAATCAATTTGAATGGGAAAATATCATCACTGGAATTAACCGTTTCATTTGGTGCAAGTTGAGGAAGAAAAGAGTTTGAGTTATTTGAATAACTTTTATTTTGCAAGTTGAACAATTTAAAGTAAAGAGTGTGATTAAGTTCACAGTTGTGATGATTACAATTGAATTAATCATTTCATTAATTCCGTGTTATTTTCATCAACTATTTAAACATTGTTTAATCATGTAAAAGTGTCCAACTGGACAAAATTAAATTTTTACTTCTTTTCAATTTAATCATTTAGTTGGAATGAATGGATGAGAAACAATCGATATTCAAATGGACGGTTGCAAGGTGAAAGCTGCTTGAATTGCATGTGCAGAATGAATTTGAATGATCAAGATTCACCTTTAACATGGAAATTAATTTATTCTGTTTTCTGTTTTTTGGGAAAGAATTATGAATTCGAGAGATTTCAGAGGTTATTGCCAGAGTTCATTACTTTAATGTCATTGTTATGATTATTATCGGAACTTGCTTCATGACTAAACCTCATGAACTTGATAATGCTCATGAAAAATTTACTCATTTGTAGCAACTGATTTTGTAATTGATTGGCAAGAGTACAATAGGAAAAGTTGTGATGGAAGGAAAAAGCAATCAATGTTTTGGCTCGAATTCACTTTTTTATTAATTATTTTGCTTCGTTTTTTTTCGTTCCAACAATTTAACTATTTAATCTGAACAGATTATCTGATTCTGCTCTTTGACATTCTTTGTCTTCTGTTTGATATTTTGTCATTAGTTCAACAATCTTAGCTCAATTTCATTTGACAAGCAACTTTCGATTCATTAATCTATCATGGCTTTGATACTTTGTTGCTAAAAGTCCAATTCACTTGAAATTTTCAACCAATTTTCAGTCTTCAATTTTAGCTTATTTAGCTCATTTGGATAATTTTCATTCTTTCATTCAGTTTCCATAAAACTCATTGAAAATTCCTAAAACTCTTGTTCGCTACCAAAAGTTTTCCCCAAATGAAATTGAAAGAGATAATTAGATTGAGATTGAAAATTGAAATCCCAGGGAAAAAATGATTTCATTGTTTTGATTGAAATGAAAATGACTGTAAAAGCAGCTGAAAGGGTGAAAGTTGATTAGTGAAATGGCCAGAATTGAAGTGACAATGGAACAATGATGAAAATTTGAGGAACAGGAAGAGAGGTGATGAACAATTTACTTGGTAAAAGGTTAATCTTTTCACTTGTGTGACCAATGATTAAAATGGAATCCTATTCATGGAAATTGAAGGTTAGATAATAATGAGAATCCATTGAAGAAAGACATCTGAAGAAATTGGGAGAAAAGAGAAAAGAAAAAGGAAAAATCTGTGAATCATCTTTTATCTGAATGTGAACCAAGAACTGAACCAATGTTAATTAAGGTACAATTTAATTTAATTTGCTTATCAGACAAGTAAAATTCCAGCAAGATTCATAACCATTATCAAGTTATTACCAACATTGGATGCTGTTGTGATGATGATGCTGGTGATGAGAATTTATTTTCATTTTCAGTAATTCTCATAATCACAAGTGATTATCATTAAAGATGTAAACAGCAATTTAGTTAACCAACTTTGATAATGTAATCATCATTATTCACTTTGATTGTTGACCATTAAGATGAACACTTTTAGCGACTCAATGATATTCAATTTTATTAACTGGAAAATAAGTTGAACACTGAAACACTTGACAATATCTAGGAAAAGGTTAATTGTTAGCAATTTAGTTTCTTTACTCATTTTACTTGATTGATTAACTTTGAACGCTTTCCTTATTGTCATTGTTGGTAAAAATGTTAACATTTGATAAATGGCAATAAATGAGATAAATTGAAATCTTTCCTCATCTTTTCATCGCAAGGTGTGTGAGTTGTCAATGTATATTGATGTTTATTAATAATAATCAAGAAAAGATGAAACGAAGTAATCATTTTTTTCTCTCCTTCATGTAATGGTCAACCTGGAATCTTAATTGTATTATTAAGAGTGAAAGCAATTTTTATCCATGAAATGCTATTCAATCAGTATGAAAATTTACTCACAGCATGAGATTCATGAAGCAACTCATGGATTAAACAAAAAAGGTCTTTGGGTAAAAGAAGTGAAAGCAAACGATAAATAAATTACTATTCACATTATTAATAAGATGAAAAGAAACATCGATCAGGTTAAAAATAAGGTTAGGTTTTTTGAGAAGTTTCATGTTCTCTTCTTTTTTGGCTTTTCTCTTTCGTCCATTGATTATATAATTGTGCTGATGTTGACCATTACATGCATTGTTGGCCAATTGGCTGTAATATGAAAAAGTATATTTATATTGAAAAGCAAAGCCAATTAGAGAAAAATTGAATGGTAAAAATAATGAAATGCAAAAATGAAAGATGAAAGTAAACGGTTAATGGCGTTGATTGAATGGCAAATCAGGCAAAATTCATGTTGCAATTGAAATTCAACAATTAATCTGATCGGTATTACAATGAATAACATGAGACATTCCTATTGAATAAGCAAAAACAAACCCAACCTACGCTTCTAGTTGTTGTCTTGTAACAACGCCTTTTTAAAGCCTTTTGAGCAACGCCAAAATTTAGGTCAATTATTGTGGTCAGTAAAAAAATGGTAAACATGAGACCATTTTTTTATGAATAATTGTTCAAAGCAACGGTAAAACAAGAGAAATGATTGAAATACAAATTGCAAATTGACCAAATAAGTTGAATGATTTGAAAATTATGCTTTTGTCTGTTAGTGTTTTTGTTTACTAATCAACCAATTTGCTCATAAATTCAATGATTATCGGGATAATTTGATTGGAATTGTTTTCCTTTTTTCTTTATTCTTATATTAAAATTTGATTCCAGTTTATCAGAATAATGGTAATCAGCTTGAATTTATCAGATATTTGGTTCCATTGTTCAGTCGATTGTAACGGCATTATGCAAAAACCATTTAGCTATTGGAATGATAAATTAATCTGAAAGAAGAAGAAAAATGTTAGAAATCGGTTATTCCAATGTTTATTCATTTTAATCATCGACTTACCATCAATTATTTACCTTTTTTAATTCAACTCTATTGGCTTCAATTAACTTGTTTATCAATTATCTGGATTCAATGAATGACAGAATGCTGATCATCACCCTCATCTTCATGATTGCCATCTAAAAGCCATTTATCTTCTCATCTTTTATTCAATGTTAATCAATAATGAATGTTAAACTTTGTGAGTCTAACCTAATTTTGGGTCGTCTCTTCCCTACAGATCAACATGGTGAGTTATTATGAATGCTTGTTAAATCAAGAAGCAGAATAGGAATAAAAAAAGAGTTTCCACATTTGACTGATTTTGATATTAATCAATTGCTCTTAATTTAAATCAAAATAAGAGTCACTCGTTATGTCATCCGTCATTATTGTAATTAATTGTTGAATGATGATCCAAATGTTGCTCCAAAAAGAGTGCAAAATGTGAAATCGTTTAAGCTTAATGGTTTCAAATTTTGGTTAAATTAAGATCAAGAGATGAGAGTAAAAAACAGTTTCCATCTTGTTTCAAGTCTTTCTCCTCATTTCATTTAAAGTGAAATAAAAAAGTCTAACTTGAAATAATGATAAAATATGGTTAACTTGGTTTTGACAGAGTTGAAATAATTTCCAGTTGGATTGTTTCATGATAACTGTGGTTGAAAAGATTTCAATCTTGCCAGTTGTGAAAAGCCTTTCCTCTGAAGTAAACTTTCCCTTTGCTTTTCCTTGCTCACCAAAACAGTCAAATGCAATGAATTTTTGCTATTACTTGGCTTTTCTTGCACCACCACAAATTAACCATCAACTGATTGCACATTGCAAGTGAATTTGTAAATTTAAAGATGAAAATCCTAGAGACGGATGAGAGAAGGAAAGAAAAGAACTGATTAGTTGGATAATTTAAAGATGGAGACGAAAGTTGAAAGAAATTTTTCGGTTTAAGGGTTGATTTCTTTTCATGATAATGATGATGATAAGTTAAGGTGTGTTCTCAATTGATTATTTGCTAATTTGATGCATTTTCAGTTCATTCAATATGCAATTGCCACCGACTGTTAACTGACAATCAATTGATCTTAAGTTGCTTCTTGCTTACAAACAGTTTTATTTTTCCACTAATCTTATACAACAACATTGATGCACATCAAACCACATCAACATTATTATTATCATTATCATCAACGTTATGATTATTATTATTTTTGGTTTTCTTATTAGAAAGCAAAAAATTACCCTCAAGCTTAATTATGAGTTAATCAGTCATGATAATCTGCTTAACAACAAGGAATGACATTTGATATTACATATCTTATATACTGTGTGTGTGTATAAGTACATGAGAAATAAAAAGTAAACATTGAAATCATTGACAATAACAGAGGAAAACCTCAACATTTACAGAAACTTGAAATTACATGATTTTGACATTTGACAGTCTTTTGACAGATTCGGAAAGATAGTAGGAGAGAGAGTGGAATGATGATAGTGATGATGATAATATGATGAGGATTGGAGCGAAACTAGAAACAGAAAAAGATGATTAAGAAAAAGAGAAAAGAAAAAAATAAGGAAAAACATATTAGATAATAATGAATGGAGACAGAAATTGATGATTGTTAAAAAATGATGAGAAAAAGAGACAAGAAACAATGCAAGATACCGCCGAGATGAGGATAAAAGAGTATGACGATGATAGTGATGATGATATATTAAACAAATTTGATTTAGCAGAAAAACTGTCAAAGTTACACATGAAATGGAACCATCCTGAAGCTAAATTGAGTTATCTAAATGTTCTGTTGATAAGTTAAAAGCCTAAGATTAAGGTTAATTCCTTTTGTGCCCAGATGAGAGTTACCATGTTGTCTACTTTTGCCAAGTGAATACTTCTAGGAAAAAGAAGAAGAAAAACAAGAATTAGATATCTTTTATTAGTAAGAAATCAAATGGCGGAGAAAAAAAGAAAAGGCCGAAAAAGTTGTATTTTGAAAAGTCAAAGGTTTAACCCAAAAGAGATTTAACAGATTCATCTACACACATTGAATATGTAAACTCTTAAGAGATTTTACTTACAATGCAAAAAAATATAATAACTAAATGAAAAATAGTCTTTCTTGTAAAATCATAATGGGCTAAGTCAAGGTGGGTTGAAAGGTCCATTTGATGTGTGTTTATTTCTTGCTTTCTGGGTGACCAGTTAGGGTGATGTAATGTCCATAATGTCCATGTCTGCAATCAGATTAGTGCTTACGGCAATTCCGTAATTTGTGATTATAATAACAAAAGGTGGTCAATAATGAAATGAAAGAGTAAACCTAAAAGAGAAGGAAAAGGAGAAAAGAAGATGGATAAAGTCAAATTTGTAACTTATTACAATTATAATGGTAAACAATTTTATCCTCAAATAATATGCATAACTATTGTTGGTAATATTTGCTTATATTTGAAAGACTATTATCATTGTTATTAGTATTGTTATTGATGAATATATATCTGTATAGATTATATTAATATATTAATAGTGATAATGTTATTTGTGAGTTGAGGAGCAAATATTGATGTTATAATGGGCAAGGGTGAATCTCTGATGGGATAAGCTGGTAAGGTGCATAGTAAAAAAAAGTCAAAGATTTAAAAGTTGAAATGTTAAAATAATGAAAAAAATATGGATAAGGAGAGGACAAGAAAAGGGCCAGGAATGTTTGAAAGGTGATCCTGAATGAGTGACAATGAGTTGTTTGAAAGATGTTGAAAAACTTTACTTGGCTGTGTTTAACTTCAAGGGAGGAGAAGGAAGAGGAGGAGGAGGAGGAGGACAAGGAGGAGATGAAAAGAAGAAAAAGATGTCTTACTTTTCTCTGTGTATTTATGTGTCGTTTCAATGTGTTATTGAGATGTTATTTTCCTCTTTTTTTTCTTCTTCTTCTTCTTTCTCTCCTTTTCTTTTTTTCTTTGGATATTTCTTGAGAAAAATGGAAAACTTCGGCGTTGAAGAAAAGATTATTGCATGTACCAGTCTATCTTGTTTCTTTCTTTTCTTGTCTTTCCTTTCTTTTGCCATCGTCATCTTCTTCTTCCTCTTTTTTTTCCCTTTGGATATAGAATGATTCTCTCGAGATTGATTCCTCTTAATCTTAATAGGATCAAAAATGTGATACTCTTCATTTGTACCCTCATCATCAGCGTTTCCATCTTGATCATCATTATCGTTATCATCATCACCATCATCCTTTGGTATTATATCCTCTCTTTAAACATTGTAACCTGTACACAACAAAAAAACAAGAGAAACAAAAAAGCATTAAATAAGCATCAAACATCAACCTTAAGGGTAATCGTAACAACAAAGATGACATTGTTAATGTTTGCTGTTGTTGTTGTTGTTGTTTGGCGCAACTTTTGTTGGTTTTATTGTTTCAACTTGATTTTTCAATTCAAGGTTAATTTGAACAATCAATTTGATTGTAATTTGAAAGACAATTTGTTGGCCCAAGGAAGAGGAAGAATCATCAAGACGTCAACAGTTCCTCTTGAAAGGCAAAATGCATCTTTGGTTGGCAGCCAAACTCATTATCTGGCTTGTAGTTTAAATATTAATTCACTAATATTTGTTACTGTTGAAATCAAATTAATGAAGATTGATTTAATCCAATCAACCAATTGATGATGTTTGCCAGATGATCAATTGTTTCTTCTACTCTGTCACTCTCTGGGTATCAATTTGGATATTATTGAGGGTTAATTGATGGTAAAATTGAAACCTAAAATTGGGGGAAATAGCAGAAATGTAGGAAAGGAGGAAAAAAACAAGAAAGAAGAGAAAAAGATCCATTAAAAACTCTTTTAAAATTCAAATCTCATTCACTTGACTAACCTCCTTTTTGACTGACCATCGGGAAAAGGCCCACCATATGAGTTGATGATTGTCTAGAGAAAGTAAAATTTCTTTCCCAAAGAAAAACAATTTTCGTTTCTCTCGTCGCTCTCAACATATTCCTTATCTTTGGCTGCTTTTAAATTTATCCCACTCGAGAAATCATTTTAAGCTTTTCTTCTCCTTCATCTCCTCATCTATCAGCTCATCTATTTATCCACATGACACTGTCACTATACTTGACTATTTTTGCGTTTTTTGTCCTCCAATGCGCCAACTTATAACATCTTATTTCATTGTCGTCCATAATAACCTTTTACCTTGTTTTCCTTCTTCTCGTGTTGATCTTGTTTTTCCAATTCGCTTGACCATGAAGCACAAAACATTTGCTGAAAACACTGAACAATAGGATAGACATAGTGTAAGAATAATGTATTAACGCGTATGTCACATTTTCTTGACCATTTAACGCACTTTTTGTTAACTTTATCATCTCTTTATACCTTTTATCAATCTCTTTTCCATTTAGCTCGCTTTTTCTTTTATTTTTTCCCTCCTTTCTTTAGCTTTTTTTCTTCTTCTCCTCCTTGAACCTTTTATAATCATATCTAAAATAAAAATAAAATAGAAAATAAAAATATTATAAATTAGATGAGCAAGAAAGAAACCTCAATTTAAAAATAAGGCTTTCATTCACTTGAATAAACCTACATTGACCACTAAAAGCTAAGGCCTAAGCACAAGCGAAGAAGAGTTGAATCAACAACCTTCGGCTCATTGGTTTCTTATCAGTGAACAAACTGGTACCAGACCAGCAAAAAAAGAAGAGACTGAAATACTCTCAAAAACTTGTTCATTGTTACATTACCTTTACTTACCTTATTTCTTCAATCCTCATCACCTCTTACTTTACTTTCTTTAGACGCTTTTTTTCATTCTATACCTTCATCACCTTACTATTGAAAGCTTTTCAACCAACATTTGCAAAGATCCCTTATCTTGCTCATAGATGGCGTTACTTTTTTAGTTAAGAGGGCAGCACAATCGCTGGTTTTGGTGAGAATTTTTCTGTTCTTTTGTTCAGTAAACCAGTCTTACCAGCCTCACCTCTCAAATTCAACCGTAGAGTCATCACAAAGATGGTCTTTTTCAACTGTTTTTTTATTGTTTAACAAAATTAAAGTGATATGATTATAAATGGTGGTCACCTTTTATTTCACTTTGATACCTCTGGTTCTTCTGGTATCTGGTCTTTCAGAGGGTGACTCTAGTTCCAATCAACACCGAACCGGATATGCTTGTGAAGGGTTAAGTTTAACCTTATCTTGTGATGAACCGTACCACATAAACTTGATACGAGCTAATTTTGGTCGTTTTAGCATTTCAACATGTAATACTCAAGGAAATCTTGAGTGGAGTGTAAATTGTGCATCACCCGGATCTTTTGCCCTTATCAAACAAAATTGTAATCATAAAAATCGATGTTTACTTCCAGCTTCTAGTGCTTTTTTTGGTGATCCATGTCCTGGAACATATAAATATCTTGAGGTTCATTATGAATGTGTGCCTAAAATATCTCGTCCAGGATCTTCGGATGTCCGATCTATGGTCGATGACATCTGGTCAGGATCATCCTCTCAATCTTCTGAACAGAGTTCTAAACCAAAGATTATAAGTCCACCACCAATTATTAAACCAAATATTGCTCCACGTACAAGTAGTCCAACTGTTTCCCCATCTCCTTCAGATATTTATATTAATAACAATGATACAATTTACGTTCCACATCCATATCCTCGTTCAACTACACCTCGTCCCGATTTATGGAGTTTAACACCGAGCTTTGATGGGCCAATTGATTCCAATGGACAATCTGCTCAATATGCTAGTGAATCTAGTGCACAACATTCACTCAACAATAACCATTGCCTAGCTGGTCTTTCTCGAGACCTTTTTTGGAATTATACCGAAGTTGGTCAAAAAGCTACTCAAGCTTGTCCAAACGGGTCCAAGGGTCGAGCTGTTTGGACCTGTGTCCGTCAAGAAGGTGTACCACAATGGATACCACCTAAACCAGATTTTAGTGATTGTCAATCATTGTGGATGTCAAATTTAACCAATAGATTGAATAAAGGAGATGCTGTAGTTGGCATTGCTGCTGAACTAGAGTCTAAAACGCGTTCATTAGTTTTATATGGAGGTGATGTTTATCGGGCAACCGAATTGATTAATCAGCTCGTTCTTAAAATGGAAGCAGTTGTTGAACAGTTTCCTGATCAGCGTCAGCGAAGTCAAATAATTAAAGAATTATTAATTGTGAGTTTCCTTTATATGATCATCATTGCCTTTTCAATAATAGCAAACAATTCTATTATCAATCAATCAAGAATTTCTCTACTTTTCAAATCACATCATCAAATTTAAACACTTGCATATTCGATAAGGATTTCTTTATCAACCTTTCACTTTAACTTCATTCATGAGAAACTCTTTATTCATTCTTTACTCCTGAAAATTTTACACTTTATTCTCGATTAATCAAGCTATTTCCATTAGACTGCTATTCTTGGAGTCACCTTTCATCCGTATCCCAAACCTTCTCCATTTTTTGCTTGCTTCAATTTCCTTCTTTTATTTCTTGCGATGATTATGAAAAGATTGATGTTCTTCTTTCTCGATCTCTTTTGTTACCTATTACTTTTTTTTCTCTCTTATTCATCAATTCCATCACCTTTATATCATTTTTCTCTGATTCTGATTTTTTTCTCTATTTCCTTTGTTTACAGTCCATGCAAGATTCTTGCAGTAATCTTTTACGTAAAAATCACCAAGATTCATGGCTTGAATTGAGACCAAACATTCGAATAGAAGCTGCCACCGCTTTAATTTACACTCTGGAAAGGACAAGTTTACTTTTGGCGGATACAAAATCTACAGCCAGTGACTACATTCGTGCCCATGATTATATATGTATGTTTAAAAATTTATTCATGTAGCAATTTTTCTTCCTCTCTTCCCTATCCTTTCTTCCTTCCTCTCCCTCCTACAATTTCTCCCTTTCATCATTCTGTTCTCTGACAATTTCTACTTGCAAAATCATCATCATCCATCATCATCCCTTGAAGCAATCATAACATGTAAAAAGGAAATCTAAATATCTCTCGACTAGGTCACAGTTTTTTAACCAACGATAATTTAACATGTTGACGTTTCTTTGTCTTTGAAATTATTGGTGTTACTGTTTCTTTATACTCGCCTGCTGTTTGTTTTAAATTACAAACAAGAGGAGGAGAGGAATATATAAAAAAAATTGGACCTGACGGTAAAAAAGGTTGAATGATGATGTAGTCAAAAACAAGGCGAAGAGTACGCTTGAAATAGTTAGCTGCTGTGTTAAAAAATAAAAGGTCCAACATGAACCAAGTCCATTCTTTATTAGCCTATTAACTGATCCGTGAAGAGTTTGGCCTCTGGACTTTTCTTTCTCCTCACTCTGCAGCAGTTTTAAATTTTGCTTTCAACCTTTTTATAACGATGTTCAATCTTCATCCATCCTCTTTCACTCTATTCACTCTTTCATCTTCCCTTGTAAAATGAAACGCATGACTTGCGAAGTTCCCTTTTTTGCTCTTATCGTTGCAAAGTTTGGTGTTTCTTCTCATTACATGAAGCAATGACAATACTTGAAGTTAACATCTTTGTTGTTTTTAGTTTTTTTTCAATTCAATCTCCATAGATCAGTAAAGACCAACAGTGCATCCAGAAAAAAAGAGCTTATCCAAAGATGCTGAAAATGCTGAAAAAAGCTAAATTCAGAAAAAAAACAATAACAACAATATTAATAGATGTAACAACAACCATAACTTTCCTCTTATCGTCACTTGAAATTGTTGGTGAAATTTTTCTTCAAGGGTTTTCTTAATATGATCTTTTCACTTTTTATTATATTATTTTCCTCTCACTTTTTCATTCTGTCTATTTCTTCCTTTTTGTTGCTCTTCTCTGTTCCTTACTCCTTCAACTGTCTTTTGTCTTTCTATCAGTCTGTAACTTCTTTTATTCTGTTTCTTCACACAGTAAGTAGTCTCAAATTGATTTGAGAATAAGATGAAACAGAAAAGAGTCTCTGGGAAAAAAGGAGAAGAAAAAGTGAGAAAAGCAAGAGATGGGATACAAGAAGAGATGATGATGATCATCAAGAAGCTTTAGGAAGCAAGTTTGTGATGAGAAAAAGGAATAAGCAAAGCAACATTGAAGGGAAAAAGTACAATATATCATAGAATCAAGATGATTGAAACAATATTTCAGCCTAACATGTCAAAATGGTCTCTTTAAACTTGCTATCATTTCATCCTCGATTCATAACATGATTCCTGCGGCTTCTCAGCCTCCTTATTTCATGAACATCTCTCTTTATTTTTGCTCCTTTTTACTCAATATTCTTGAAAAGGAAATTAAACTCACTCTGTGAGCATCCATTTTGACATTCATTCGTTGAGTAAAAAAAAGAAAGAATTATATTTACAAACAAATCTTTCTATCCCTTTCTCTTTACCTCATTTTCATCATTTTTTATTTGTTTCACTATTCTTTTTGTATTCTGATTTCTCTCTCCTTAAGCTTAAATAACTTGAAATCTATGTTTGTTGATGGGTAAAATTTTCTCAACTGGAAAATAACTTCTTTCAAAAAAATCTTGTTAGTCTTTTTAGTTTAACCATCAAACGTGATTATTTTCATGTTGATATTGTTTAAATTTCAAGTTATCATTTTTACTTTTCATCATTTTCATCATTTCCAGTCATTCTCTTGAAACTGTTTTTTTCTTCTTCTAGTTTATGGAGTTTGATGAAAAGTAAAATGAAAACAGTAAAAAATAGATGTCCAGTAATATCATTGACTTTCTCTACTTATGTCCACTTGAAATTTCATCATCTTCTCAATATAATTTAGAGGGTTGCAATTTCTATTTATATCTAGTTACTTCTAAATATCTCACCATCATGTGATTACCTATTTTTTTCACATCCCTGTTCTTCCCATTCAACTACCTTAAATAAGTATCTATGGAATATGTTCTTGAAGTTATTTTTTTATGTGACCTTTTTTGTTCTCCTCTCCTCCCTCTTTCCATCATTTTCATCTCATCTTCAATATATATATTTTTCTCCTTCTCCTGATCAACTTGACTGTCCAACCATCCATACTGTGATATTTCTTGTATATCTCTTCTCTGTGGCTGGTAATTGCTCTTTAAAGTATGGTTTCCTCCTAGTTACTCTCTTCGTAGTTATTTTTTTTGTCTTGCCTTCTGTTTCGTCTCTTTATATAAGAAACTCCATAGACATTTCTGTATTTTTCTGCTTCACTTAACTATACCTTTTTACCAACATTTCATTTCTCGTTAGTTTTTTTTCTGCTTCTCCATGTTCGTATTGAGTTGCTTCTTTTCTTCCTGCCATCATCTCTTTTCACCTTATTTTTTTCCTCTGTTACTCTCATCAAATGAAGAACCCATTTCTGGGTTGTCATCATCTCCACAAAGTGGTTGTTGTGCCTTTACAATCTCACCACACCATCATCATCAACAGCATTATTACAATCATTATACCCTCTCATCCATGGATATGATTTTAACCCAGACTTGACAAATGTGGCAAAGCATCAAAAAATATCTAAAAAACAAGGAGTCAGACAAAGATAGGGTATGAAAAGTATCTGAATAAAATAGTGTTTATGGAGAGAGAGATGCAAAGCACAAGAGCAAGTAGGCAATAAACATGTTACAAACATGTGAAGTTGGGGTCTACCAACTAAACATCTCTTATGATTTTACACGGTAATCTGAACACTACCAAATAATCATCTTGAATATATCAAAAGTCTATGATTTACTTACCATTTTGACGATCATCTCTTTCATTTTGTCTTCATTTTTTTCCTGTTTCCTAACTTCAACATCAAGCAACAATTGAATTGCCATTAATGATTCTAAAATGAAAGTTATTCCAAATGTTAATGATCTCTTATGATCATGAATCCATCCTCCAACTAACGAGTGAAAAACAAATGCAATATCAAATTCAATATACCAACCATTGATAGCTTATAGTTTCAGTTTTCAATTGCTTATAATGCCATGAGAAACATGTATCAGATCATCTTACTCTCGTCATGATTCCCTTTACTCAACTTTTCCCTTCATTTGGTGCATTGAATTTGCAATTTGCTTAAAAAATTGTAAACTTCATGTTATGTCCTTTTAACAAATTGATATCTAACTTTGAGTTTTTTTCTTCTTTGAACTTTTTTCTTCTCTATTGTAAAATAGATTGAGAAAAATGAAAGTCTATCTACTTTTATATAAATATGATGGTCAAAATGAAGTATGCAATGTATTTCAATTTTATGGCATATTAGATAGTTAAAGATGATTGATCTTCTTCTTCCTTATCTTTTTTCTCAATTTCTCTCTTTTCTCTATCATTTTTTTCATCTTTCGGGTCTTTCTCTCACTCCATCATTATTGAGCTACAAAAAACCTATAATCTTGAATTCAGTGACACTACATAAAGAAAAGCAATATATTCAGTTTGCATTTTCATCTTTTCCTCTTTTTTTCAATCTTGTGATACCGCTAAAAACTCGATGATGATGCATCTTCTGGGAACAAATTTGAACAGATTGAAGTTAGAAAATTTTCAAAACAACATCTCTGAATTTTTTGCTTCTTTTCTCTTTCATTTCTTCATCTCTTCTAAAATATTTGGCACCCTGTTGGAGATATTAAATTCTAAATTTAATCGATTATTCTCTCTCTCACTTTGTCTTTTACTCTCTTTCCCTTCCTCCGCATTTCCCCTGTTATTCAATTCAATCCTTAATAACTCTTTGCTCTTGAAAATTTGATCCTCAACTAACTACCATCATGCAATATTTCATGTACTTAAACTGTCACGTGATTACTAATCCATATTTTCTCATTTTACTTTTATCCTCTTACCTTTCAGATTTAGCTATTCATACAAGAGACGCCAAAGATCTTTTAGATTATCCTGGTAAACTGATTCTTCCCTTACCACCGAATTCAGATGATTCTGAAACTAGTTTAGATCATGCATCTTACTCACAATTCAATGGAAACTCAGTTGAACTTTCTACCGAAGCAATTTTCGACCTCGGACTCAATAATGGTTTTACCCGTCTTTTTGTTGTCATGTTTAAACGACTGGACTCTATTTTGGAGCCTGAATACTATAAACCACCTTCTCTTGACGAAGGCGTTTTTAAAATACTCAACAGTGACATTATTGGAACTACTTTGAGTTTAGTGGGATCAACCGTCTCCAGAGTTCCTTACAATTCCTTGAGGACTGGTTCAGTATGGATTAAGATAACATTTCGACATTTATTGGTACAAAATGTTACCAATCCTAAGTGTGTTTATTGGGATCCTGATAAGCTCGACTGGTCAACTAAAGGTTCATACTTGTTGTTGTCCAACCTGACTCATACATTCTGTGAATATGATCATTTAGGTTACTTTGGACTCATCATGGATCACATTGATTCACCCATAGAAACACCCACCGTTCCATCTGGTGATCTCTATTATGGTAACCCTGAAACTGACGGTACCATTCGTATCTTATTAATCCTTGGATCAACCCTCAACTCTATAATACTTCTAATTGCCTTAGTGACACTTGTCTTGGTTCGCAACTTGCAAACTAAAGAATCGGCTTTGATTCATAAAAATGTTACCATCAATTTATTGCTCGATCATCTAGTGCTGCTCCTCATTTTGGGAACTTACTTTTCACCAAGTTACTTCAATTCAAATTCCTTTAACTTGATGACATCAATTTCCTCTAGTTCTGGTTATCTTTATAACAACACCTCAACACTGCGATCATTAGGACTTCTCGTTGCCTTATACCATTACTTTCTTCTTGTTCATTTCGTTTGGATTCTTTTTGATCTTTTTGAGCTTCATTATCGTCTCACAAGAAAACAATTTGTTGACCAATCTCTTGTTCTTGGTCCATCTGGATCGGTTGCTGTAGTGAATGCAGCCTCAACAGTGACAACTACCTCGGTTCTTGCCGGCAACATTAATCCGGTGAAACTGAGGCGTTATCTTTATATAACATCTTATTCTGTTCCTTTGGTTGTTATTTTGCTCATTTCTTGGTCAACTTCATCTCAGGCCTTACCCATGTTTGCCAATCTCTGCTCACTTGAAGCACGATCTCACTTAGCTTCATTTGTCATTGCCTCATCTATCATCCTCACTGGTCTTGGATTGATACTTCTTTTAGTGACATATTCAAGAATCGGTTTGCAAGCAACAGCAACAGCAGCAGCTGCTTCACTAGCAGCTTCTCCTTCAGTTCCCGTTGGAAGTTTTGTTTATCCACCAGGATTAATGACAAGTGCGGATAAATTTGCGACCGATTTAATGTTAAATAGAAAACTGAAAATTTCACTTTTTCTCCGTTTTTCTCTCAATTTGCTGGCTGCCATAAATTGTGCTCTCGGTGTTGTTTATCTAACCTACAAAGTATCAACAATTGGATACTTGTTTGCCCTCACAAATGTCTCCCTTGGATTATTCGTGTTTTCCTACTACTGTTTAACCAAGGAAAATATTCGTGCTCGCTACTCGTTAATCTGTTCATATGCAGCAAGATATGTTGTGTGTTTAAAAGGTGACTCAAAAACTGATTACCTCAACAACCATGGTAATCATCACCATCATCACAATCATCCAAATGTAATTCACAACCTTCCTCTTAATAGCGGCCTTAACGATGGACTATCTAGAGGCATAGTCGTTGGAGGTTACAACAAGAATCCATCTATTCCTAACCTGACTGGTAATCCAGCTCAATTAACTGAACCCATAATAGGCAATTCAACTAGCATGGGAGCTTTATCATCAATGGCTCGTGATTATGCAACATCCAAACATTATTTGGCCAGTGATGCAGCTACTACAGAGAGTGGCTCTGATTACGGTTGTCGACGTTTAACAGCAGCAGCTGCAGCCGCTGCCGCTGCTGCAAATAATGCACCCCACCTGATAACCCATGGACCAACACCAAATCACTTTTATCACCTTTACAATCCCAAACAACCTTGTAATCCATACTCTTGTCATCACATGATTGAACATGTATATGAGTGTATTGACGACGAACCCTATGTTGCCAAGGTAATCTTACCGGCAGGATCTGCTGTTGCCTCAGCAACTTTGGGTAATTACAGGCTACATTCCATGGCAGCGGCCCAAGCCGCTGCTCACCATGGTCACCATCTTCATCACCTTCATTTCCAGCAAACTTTACCTAACCACTACCTTGGTTACCATAATTTAGAGTCACTTCACAATAGCGGATCTCAATTTGATGTTACTCGGTCTGCTGTCAATCCAGGCTCTTCTGTCAACTTTTCACCCGATAGAGCCGCCTCTTTAGGTATCAGTATGGGAGGAGGAGGGACTCTCCAAAGGTGCCTCGTATCAACATCTTTAAGTGCCAAAAAAGCTGAACCACCAATAACTACAACAATGCCCGTGACAACAACATCGTCAACAGCCGAACACAATTTAACACCACTTTAATTGTTGATCAGTTGCTCTGATTATCTTAAAATAATAATCTTCAAATTATTTTGTTACAAAAATTGCACAAATTCAAGATGATTTCAAAAATTGTCTTCAATTCTCGTTCGTTCATCCTTTTTTTTCTACTCATAAATAATTGAACATTTTTTCCATGTATAAAAATGTACTAAACAACTATTTATATCAAGCTAAACATGGTATTTGATAACGTGATAATCATAATCTAAGCCCCACAAACATCCAAACTATGATTATTTCAATGCTGAAAAAAGGCTCACAAGAATCGCAAGATTCTCTAAAGAAAAGAGAGAAAAAAAATTCTGAATCAGAAACAACAAAAAATGTATTAAAATTGTATTATATATTGAACAAAATGTAATAATGTATATAAATGTATTAAAATTGATAGACAAATGAAAAAAAAGTTTCATTTCATTTCACATTTCAAGATTTGAAAAGCAACATTTTCAAAATTATTGGACTAAAAAAAATTCAGTGAAAACTCAATCAAAATAAGGGAAGAAGCAAGGAAAAAGGAAAAAACAGAAAAGAAGAAAAATTTCCACCAAACTGCTCATAATTCAATAAAAACACCAAATTGAGATAAACAATGTTTCTTGTTGAGCCAAATATTGAATGTTAAACCAAACATTAAGCTAAATATTAAACCATTATTAATCTCAAAATAAATGTAAGGCAAGATTAACCTTTCAAACGACACTTGAGCCAAGTAAATAGACAACAAAAATGACTTTTAGACACTTGAAACAATCAATCAAAAATGATTTATCATTACGCTTTTTTTATCATTTCTGGACATTTCATTTCAATAATAAAAGATAAAAGGTAAATTAAGATTGAACAAGAGCAAAAATGAAAATAAAGTGTCAATTTATCACAACATAAACAATAAGCGATCAAACTTAAGCGGTAAACCAATTGAGGGAACCTTTATCCACCCTTGATCCTTCCCCAGTCGCAACAGCTATTAAGTATCATGCTGATAATGATGACAAGCCACCTTGGCATAGTCAACAGTTGAGACAACAAAAGGTACAACATGTTGAATGTCATTCAACCTTCATTCCTACCCTGAATTGTCCCATCACAAAGGGTGTAATCACAAGGGAATTCAGATGAAAATTGAATGTCCCAATGGTTCAATTAAAGAGGATGGTGAAGACAAAAAAAAGTGAAAATGTAATACACAAAATGATGATCATCAATCAAATCAAATGGTAAAACCTTTTTTTCCTCTTTTCCTTTTTTTCTCTCTTCGCCTTTGTTTCATTCAATGAATCCATCGAGTTGAACCGTAAATTCAAATTGCACAAAGAGACGGGTTGAGGCAACATCAATACCAACATCAATAACAACAACAATAGCAATGTTAATACATGAAAGTGTAAAGAAGATCATTTTGGGGTGAAATTTTCTTCTTCTCATTTTTACTCTTCTTTTGTCTTGTTTGATGATAATCTAACACTCATCTTCAATGTGAACCAATCCTTATGCCTTGATTCATGGTTATGTATCAATTGAACGGTTGCAATGCCCAAAGGTCATTATCGGTCCAAGTGAATATCTTTTCATAATCAAAGCTCTTTTCATCCTCCAACACCTCCCATCCAACCTCTGTACCCTTCTGTATCTTTACTTGATTAAGTTACATTTTTCCCTTTACTTTTGCTCGTTATTATCATTTACATTAAGTGTCAGCAAAGCCAACTGGAAACTCAATAACAAGATTATTTGACCAAATAAAAACTTTGATTATTTCGCTTAGTTTTTTTCTGGTAAATCCGATTATTCAGATAAATTTTTCTTCCATCTTTCAACATTTTCATCTTTTCCATGAAACTGTTAACCATTGAAAATGATCACATTTGTTCAAGTTGTGAATGTGACAAAAGAAATTTAAATTTTGTGCTTTCAATTCAATTCAAGTTTATCAAAATAATATTATTTTCTTGTGACGTTTTGACAAGAAAAGAAGATATTTTTTTATCAATGAAGGAATGTTTAAAATTGAATAAAGACACTTTTCCAGAATAAGAAATGTATAACAGAAGTCACTTTTCATGTAAAGGTAATCATATCATGAATAATCAAATTGGAAAACATGTAAAATGGTAATTTGCCAATAACTTTTAGGCTCTAAAAGACTAAAGGTAAAGAGTAAATTTTCATCATTTATTTCATTACAAGTTGATTTTACTTGTAAAAGTGTTTCAAGTGAAATCAATCAGTTCTGTAACTTGATTAGATTATAATCTGATAACAATGAGGCAACTTGTAATTAGGATTCTCAAGTAAAAGTTGAACACTGGTTACCCTGGAAACAATTATGGACTATTTTGCACCTTGAAACGAGTTTTATCATGAAAAGAGAATCCAAAGGAGAACAAAAAAAGGTGAGAAGGAAATTCTTTTCTTCTTCTCAAGGGAAGAAATTAAATTTTCTTAAAGATAAACTGTTGCTAATTAAGTGACTTGAATCACCATGAAAGAAGGAAGGCAAATTAATCAGATAACAGCTAATAATGAACATGATAATATATCATGAAAAGTGATTCCAGTAGATTATCGCAATCGAGTTAACAGAAGAAAAAAATTGAATATTTTTTCTCTTCTCATTAAAACTTCAAGGTGTGGTTCAGTTGGAATAATGAATCTGGTAATGATTTGAGGGAAATTAGTTTTTCCACCAAAATTCTGTAAATTTCATATTCCAAAGTAAATTTCACTTCATTTACTGTTATTCAGTAGATTCAGGTTTACATGGAAAAAGGTATTTTGGATCGATAGAGTTGGACATTTCACTTGGAGAAAAGTAAAACTTTTATTGGTCTTCATTACATGATGAACTTGTTAGCATATTATTGAGTTGAATATTGAGTTTGGAGAAAAAAAAGTTTTCACATGAAATGGTTTCACTCTTTCATGAGTCTTTTCAATTTCTGCTTTTTTCTCCATTCCTTTGCTCATATTTGGAATGGTCAAAAGCGTTGAGCATGAAAGGACAAATAATACTTGAAATGGACATTGAATTGAAATGATAAAGAAAAGAGGAAAAGTAAATTTTGTGAGAAAGAAAAGAGGAAAAGTAAATTTTGTGAGAAAAGTTGAAAGACTCGGAGAATTTGAATTTAATCTTGAAATTTATGGAATTTACTCTTTATTTGATGGTGAAAAAGGAAGGATGAAAAAAAGATGAAACAATATTTTGAAAGGTTAACCTTTGAAAGATAAATAAATGTTAACCTTTGAAAGATAAATAAATGTAATATTCAATTGGAAAAAACTTTTTTTTCCATTTTATTTCTGGTAAAAGTTTCCACTGGACAATGGACAGTTACAGAGGAGATGAGATGAATAAGAATGGTAAATTTATCCTGTTGTTGGAAATTATTTCAAAAAGAATCAAATTTAGAGCGAAAAAGAAAAAAAAAACGATGAACATTACTTAAGGCGTTTGGAGGATGAAAGTTTTCTAGTTGACAAAAAGAGAGAAAATGTTGAACTTTGGAAAAAAAGAAATTCTGGACACTTGAAGAATTTTAATTCAGGTAAAGTTATCCCTTATGATGAGTAAAGTGGTGGACAAAATGAAATTGAAAGACAACATAAGATGCAAAAATCTGAAGAGAAAAAAATTCTCAGATGAGAAAACGAAATGAAAGAAATAATTCTTTTCCAAAATTCAGTCTTTTCCAATTTCCATGATTTTTCCAACTTCTATTCTTATTGCCAAAAGCCAATTGTTATCATCAGTTCAGTTCAGCATTTCCCTGTTAACATTGCCTTTTCTTCACTTTTCAACCTTTTCCTTCTTTCCCGAGGTTTTGCCAAAAAATTGAAGGAACCCAAAAATTTGGATAAATCTTTTCTCGAATCAAGCGTAACCGTTGCTACCTTGACAGGGAATGATGAAAGGTAAGAATCGGAAAAATGTAAACTCAAAGTGATTCCATGGTTTGTAAGAGAAAAAAGGAAAAAAGAAATAATCTTTTCTCTTTTTTTTCTGCATTTACCTTTACCTTTTTGCAGATTACCTTGCAATTTGTTTACTTGAATATTGCATTCAATTTATTATTGAAGCAATTTTTTGCTTCTTCTCCTTCACTTTATCGAGTAAAAGTCAAAATTTGACATTTCATTGCAATTGTAATCAGTTTAGTTGGTTTTACCTTTTCAGATATTCATTGACTAGAAATGATTGTAAAATTAATTCTCAACTCAATAAATCTCTTTTCGCTGTTTAACTTGAAATTGTTTTTACCTTTTCTTGTTTCTCTTCTTCTGTTCTGTGTCTACCTTTCATTTCATTTTACATAATGTTTTATCACACAACTTTGATTTTCTTGTTAAGATTATTATCTGTTATCGTAAGCCCGTTAAACGGCCGAAAACCAATGAATATTATTATCATCTTTTGCTTTATTTGATGGACACCAACCGAGAGTGAAACATTTAAACTCAACTAACATGAGATTTACCTTTACCTTGACCAAAGTTAAATGTTTCAAAGATTAAATGCTGATCAATTATATCTTTTGCCCGTTTCCATACTTCTGTAACCAGTAATTACAGTCCAACCATATTTCATTATTTACCTCGAGATTCAATTCTCATAGTCTATTACCGTCTTGTCCTTCAGTAAACTTGCCCAAGAATAGGCGGTAAAGTAAACTTTGAAGCAAAGTCTTTAAATGCTGAAATATTGCTCCAAAAGTCATCGTTTTTTTAATCAATTTCATGTTTCCAAAACTTTGGTAGAATCTGCAAAATTCAGGAAATTTTTGCTACCAAAAGTTAAATCAATCGGAGAAACTCAAAGCTTTGGAAGGAACAACAGAATTTTAAATTGTCATGGATTTTACTACAAAAATTGGAATGGATTGGAATATGGAATCCACGAAAGTTTACCGAAGCTGAATGAAAACTCGAAAATTCTTGCTCGATTCAGAAAGTGAATAGTTTTTTTCGAGTTTTTTTGGTGCAAATTTACAAAGAACTTGGAATATCGATTTTAGTGAAATTGTAAAGTTTGATTCTTTTATGCAAAGATTGATTTTCAATTGGAATTGCATGGCAAAGCAATTGAATTTTGGTAATTTTCGCAGAACATTTTTTGTACTGAAAATTGATTTTGAAAGTTGATCATTTGCTTTGATTGAGTTAATTGGAAAGAAAAACTCGAAATTTGTTTACGAATAAAATGTCCATCATTTTCATCCGGACAACCTGATATTAGCATTCCTGTGACTCTAAGTATATAATTAAAGTGATGTTTAATGGTGAG